CGCCGCAAGCGGCCAAAAATCGCACGATTTTCGCCGCAAGCGGCCAAAAATCGCACGATTTTCGCCGCTAGCGGCCAGAAACTATGCGATTTTTGCAGCTGGCGGGAAAAAATCGCGATTTTCGCCGCTACCGACCAAAAATAGCGCGATTTTCGCCGCTAGCGGCCAAAAATCGGGCGATTTTTGCCGCTAACGGCCGAAAACCGCGCTATTTTCGACGCTAGCGGCCAGAAACCATGCGATTTTTGCAGCTGGCGGGCAAAAATCGCGCGAATTTCGCCGCTACCGGTCAAAAATAGCGCGATTTTCGCCGCTAGCGGCCAGAAACTATGCGATTTTTGCAGCTTGCGGGCAAAAATGGCGCGATTTTCGCTGCTACCGGCCAAAAACCGCGCGATTTTCGCCGCTAGCGCCCAAAAACCATGCGATTTTCGCAGCTGGCGGGCAAAAATCGCGATTTTCGCCGCTAGCGGCCAAAAATAGGGCGATTTTCGCCGATAGCGGCCAAAAACCATGCGATTTTCGCAGCTGGCGGGCAAAAATCGCGATTTTCGCCGCTACCGGCGAAAAATAGTGCTATTTTCGCCGCTAGCGGCCAAAAACCGTGCGATTTTCGCCGCTAGCGGCCAAAAACCGTGCGATTTTCGCCGCTAGCGGCCAAAAATCGGGCGATTTTTGCCGCTAACGGCCGAAAACCGCGCTATTTTCGACGCTAGCGGCCAGAAACCATGCGATTTTTGCAGCTGGCAGGCAAAAATCGCGCGAATTTCGCCGGTACCTGCCAAAAATCGACCGATTTTCGTCGCTAGCGGCCAAAAAAGGGGCTATTTTCGCCGCTAGCGGCCAAAAATGGGGCGATTTTCGCCGCTAGCGGCCAAAAATCGTGCAAATTTCGCCGCTAGCGGCCAAAAATCGTGCGATTTTCGCAGCTGGCGGGCAAAAATCGCGCGATTTTCGCCGCTACCGGCCAAAAATAGCGCGATTTTCGCCGCTAGCGGCCAAAAACCGTGCGATTTTCGCCGCTAGCGTCCAAAAATCGGGCGATTTTCGCCGCAAGCGGCCAAAAATCGCGCGATTTTCGCCGCTAGCGGCCAGAAACTATGCGATTTTTGCAGCTGGCGGGCAAAAATAGCGCGATTTTCGCCGCTAGCGGCCAAAAACCATGCGATTTTCGCAGCTGGCGGGCAAAAATCGCGATTTTCGCCGCTACCGGCCAAAAATAGCGCGATTTTCGCCGCTAGCGGCCAAAAACCGTGCGATTTTCGCCGGTAGCAGCCAAAAATCGGTCGATTTTTGCCGCTAACGGCCGAAAACGGCGTTATTTTCGACGCTAGCGGCCAGAAACCATGCGATTTTTGCCGCTACCTGCCTGGAATTTCGCCGCTACCTGCCAAAAATCGACCAATTTTCGCCGCTAGCCGCCAAAAAAGGGCTATTTTTGCCGCTAGCGGCCAAAAATGGGGCGATTTTCGCCACTAGCGGCCAAAAATCGTGCAAATTTCGCCGCTAGCGGCCAAAATTCGTGCGAATTTCGCCGCTACCGGCCAAAAACCGCGCGATTTTCGCCGCTACCGACCAAAAACCGCGCGATTTTCGCCGCTACCGGCCAAAAACCATGCTATTTTCGCAGCTGGCGGGCAAGAATCGCGATTTTCGCCGCTACCGGCCAAAAATAGCGCGATTTTCGCCGCTAGCGGCCAAAAACCGTGCGATTTTCGCCGCTAGCGGCCAAAAATCGTGCGAATTTCGCCGCTAGTGGCTAAAAATCGCGCGATTTTCGCCTCTAGCGGCCAGAAACAGAAACTGACTCAGTGGCACCAGTACTGACCTGTCCCTGATGCAGGGGCACCAGTACTGACCTGTCCCTGACTCAGGGGCACCTCTACTGGTCTGTTCATGACCCGGGGGTGCCACTACTGGTCTGTCCCTGACGCAGGGGCACCAGTACTGACCTGTCCCTGACTCAGTGGCACCAATACTAACCTGTTCCCCGACTCAGGGGCACCAGTACTGACATGTCAGTGCCTCTGTCCCTGACTCAGAGGCACATCTACTGGTCTGTCCCTGACTCGGGGGCACCAGTACTTGCCTGTGCCTGACTCGGGGGCACCAGTACTTGTCTTTCCCTGACGCAGGGGCACCAGTACTGACCTGTCCCTGACTCGGGCACGAGTATTGACCTGTCTCTGTCTCAGGGGCACAAGTACTGGTCTGTCCCTGACTCGGGCACGAGTATTGACCTGTCTCTGTCTCAGGGGCACCAGTACTGGCCTGTCCCTAACTTAGGGACACAGTACTGGCCTATCCCTGACTTGTGCACCAGTACTGGCATGTCCTTGACTCAGGGGCACCAATACTGGTCTGTCCTTGACTCAGGGGGCACCAGTACTGACCTGTCCCTGACTCAGGGGCACCACTACAGATCTTTCCTTGGCTCAGGTGCACAACTACTGGCCTGTCCCTGACTCAGGTGCACCTCTATTGGTCTGTCCCTGATTCAGGGTCACCATTATCTGTCCCTAACTCAGGGGCACCAGTACTGGTCTGTCCCTAACTCGGGGGCATCAGTACTGGTCTGTCCCTGACGCAGGGGCACCACTACTTGTCTGTTCCGGACTCAGGGGCATTAGTACTGGCATGTCTTTGACTTGGGGCCCTTCTACTGGTCTGTCCCTGACTCGAGGCACTTCTACTGGCCTGTCCCTGAATCAGGGGCAACAGTACTGGTCTGTCCCTGTCTCGGGGCACCAGTACTGGCCTGTCCCTGACGCAGGGGCACCTCTATTGGTCTGTCCCCGATTCAGGGGCACCACTACTGGTCTGTTCCTGACTCAGGGCCACATCTAGTGGTCTGTCCCTGACTTAGGGGCAGCAGTACTGACCTGTCGCTGACCCAGGAATACCACTACTGGTCTGTGCGTGATTCAGGGACACCTCTACTTGTCTGTCCTTGACTCGGACACCACTACTAGTCTGTCCCTGACTCAGGGGCACCAGTACTGTCCTGTCTCTGTCTCGTGGGCACTAGTACTGGCTTGTCCCTAACTTGGGGGGCACCACTACTGACCTGTCCCTGTCTCGGGGGCACTAGTACTGGTTTGTCCCTGACTCTGGGGCACCAGTACTGGCCTATCCCTAAGTTAGGGACACAGTACTGGCCTGTCCCTGACTCAGGGGGATCAGTACTGGCCTGTCCCTAACTTAGGGACACAGTACTGGCCTGTCCCTGACTTGTGCACCAGTACTGGCCTGTCCTTGATTCAGGGGCACAAGTACTGGCCTGTCCCTGACTCAGGGACACCAGTGCTGGTCTGTCCTTGACGCAGGGGGCACCACTACTGGTCTGTTCCGGACGCAGGGGCACCTCTACTGGTTTGTCCCTGACCCGTTGGCACCAGTACTGGCCTGTCCCTGTCTCGGGGCACCACTACTGGTCTGTCCCTGGCTCAGGGGCACCAGTACTGGCCTCTCCCTGGCTCAGGGGCACCAGTACTGGCCTCTCCCTGTCTCAGGGGCACCAGTACTGCCATGTCCCTGGCTCAGGGGCACTACTACTGGTCTGTCCCTGACTCATGTGCACCACTACTGGCATGTCCCTGACTCAATGGCACCAGTACTGACCTGTCCCTGATGCAGAGGCACCAGTGCTGACCTGTCCCTGACTCATGGGCATCTCTACTGGTCTGTCCCTGACTCAGGGGCACCAGTACTGACCTGTCCCTGACTCAGTGGCACCAGTACTGACCTGTCCCTGACGCAGGGGCACCAGTACTGACCTGTCCCTGACTCAGTGGCACCAGTACCGACCTGTCCCTGACGCAGGGGCACCAGTACTGGCCTGTCCCTGACTCAGGTGCACCTCTATTGGTCTGTCCCTGACTCAGGGGCACCAGTACTGGTCTGTCCCCGACTCAGGGGCACCAGTACTGGTCTGTCCCTAACTCGGGGGCATCAATACTGGTCTGTCCCTGACGCAGGGGCACCACTACTGGTCTGTTCTGAACTCAGGGGCATTAGCACTGGCATGTCTTTGACTTGGGGCACTTCTACTGGCCTGTCCCTGACTCGGGGCACTTCTACTGACCTGTCCCTGATTCAGGGGCAGTAGTACTAACCTGTCCCTGACTCAGGGGCACCAGTACAGACCTGTCCCTGACTCGGGGGCACCACTACTGGTCTGGCCCTGACTCAGGGGCACCAGTACTGACCTGTCCCTGACTCAGGGGCACCAGTACTGACCTGTCCCCGACTCAGGGGCACCAGTACTGACCTGTCCCTGACTCAGGGGCACCAGTACTGACCTGTCCCTGACTCAGGGGTACCAGTGCTGGTCTGTCCCTGACATCTCCCTGACTCAGAGGCACCTCTACTGGTCTGTCCCTGACTCGGGGGCACCACTACTGGTCTGGCCCTGATTCAGGGGCACCAGTACTGACCAGTCCCCGACATGGGGCACCTCTCCTGTCCTGTCCCTGATTCGGGGGCACCAGTACCGGCCTGTCCCTGACGAAGGGGCACTTCTTCTGGTCTGTCCCTGACTCGGGGGCACCATTACTGGTCTGGCCCTGATTCAGGGGCACCAGTACTGACCAGTCCCTGACATGGGGCACCTCTCCTGTCCTGTCCCTGATTCGGGGGCACCAGTACCGGCCTGTCCCTGACGAAGGGGCACTTCTTCTGGTCTGTCCCTGACTCGGGGGCACCACTACTGGTCTAGCCCCGATTCAGGGGCACCAATACTGACCAGTCCCTGACTTGGGGCACCTCTCCTGGCCTGTTAATGACTCGGGGGCACCAGTACCGGCCAGTCCCTGACGCAGGGGCACCAGTACTGGCCTGTCCCTGACTCGGGGACACCAGTACTGGCCTGTCTCCGACTCAGGGACACCAGTACTGGCCTGTCTCCGACTCAGGGACACCTCTACTGGCCTGTCCCGGACTTAGGAACATTACTACCACCCTGTCCGTATCCGACTCATCTAGCAGTGTTTCCCCAGCAGGTCGCCTGGTGGTCATGTCCAGCGTTGGGGGAATCATGGGGCGGGAACGCCTCTCACCCTACAATCTCACCAAGTTTGCCATAGAGGGGTTTTCCGACTCGTTACGGTAGGTGCCATGGAGGAGAGGCGGGGGGCGTTGCTATAATGGAGGTGGTTGTGACATATGTTCTTATCCAACAGTGTCTATGGGGGAGGTGTGGTAATTATCGGGAGGCACTAAGCCATTACGACTATATAGCACTTGGAAGGAATATGAGGATAAGGATATAGGATAGGACGGAGGAAAATGGACCCCCTGTGGTACCCCCACTCCCCTCATTTCTCCAGTCAGATTCATCCCCAATTAGCACGGCCCTTTGTTTTAACCATTGTTTTATCCATTCTAGTACTCTACCATTGATTCCATGTTCCTATAGTTTGTGTGTTAGTCTTTCATGTGGTACCTTATCACAGGCTTCAGCAAAATCTGTGTGTACTACATATTTCGAAAGTCCTTGGTCATAGCTGCTGCTTACCGATTAAAAAAAAAATAAAAAAAAAAAATTGAAGTTTGTATGGCATCTATAAACACACACTGCCTGTCCCTCAACTCAATAAATTATGAATTATATATCTGGGCATTCGCCTTGTCAAAGGCTTTTTAGAAATCCAAAAATATGCAGTCTGTCTACCTTTCATTCTTGTATAATGTGTCACCTGACCATAGAATTCTATAAAACCTGTGAGGCTATATTTAATATCCCTGAACCCATGTTGATGTGTTATAAAGTTCTTTTTAGATGTTCTAGTTTCTCAATTTTTTCCATCACCATGTATGGTACTGTATGAGAGTTAGGGACACTGACCTGTACTTCAGTGCCTCCTGTCTCACCTTCCACGGTGAGACAGGAGGCATATGAGAGTTAGGGACAGACCTGTACTTCAGTGCCTCCTGTCTTTCTCCATTCTTGTATATTGGAAATGAGCCAATCCTCCAGCAAAAAAAAAATCCATTACCATGACAAACCACACCCACCCTCAAACCACCTGGATAATTATCTAGATATTTGTGGTCTGAAAACACATTTATGGTTTCAGTAATAGTCTAAATGTAAACTGGCAAATGAACCATTGTTGTAAATAGATTATTCTCAAGTTATAACTTTAATGTAGTATAAATAGTTGGTTTAACATGAAAGTATTTGCTGAAAACGTTTACATTGAAGAACTTGGTTTTCTGTAAATGTTAGCTGCTGGTATGTGCAGTGTTAGTGAAGATCGGCGTACCCCAGGATTGGCTATTAAGGGTTAGTGATGTGCCTAGTGTGAAGTGCTACTAGCAAGCTGCTAAGAGGTTTCTGCCAGGGGTTAGCTACCCATGTATGAGTTTGGGACAACTGTCAGCGTGTTGCTGAAGCCCTCTGCCAATGAGTAGCTAGAGAGCTAAGGTGGGGTGTAGGCACATCGTGATACTGTGTGGGTGGACTGACTCATGTAAAAGGTGAACTCGCTAGTGTTGTCCAGTACAAGTGGGCAGGGTACAGTGATTGTTTTAACACTGGAGTTGGCAAACACTGTTGAAGTATTTGTGTCCTGCATGAAAGATGCAAATGTAAATAAGTGTAGTTATAACCTTTATATAATAAAATATATATATATATATATATATATATATATATATATATATATATATATATATATATATATATATATATATATATATATATATATATATATATATATATATATATATATATATATATATATATATATATATAATATATATATATATATATATATATATATATATATATATATATATATATATATTAATATATATATATATATATATATATATATATATATATATATATATATATATATATATATATATATATATATATATATATATATATATATATATATATATATATATATATATATATATATATATATATATATATATATATATATATATATATATATATATATATATATATATATATATATATATATATATATATATATATATATATATATATATATATATATATATATATATATATATATATATATATATATATATATATATATATATATATATATATATATATATATATATATATATATATATATATATATATATATATATATATATATATATATATATATATATATATATATATATATATATATATATATATATATATATATATATATATATATATATATATATATATATATATATATATATATATATATATATATATATATATATATATATATATATATATATATATATATATATATATATATATATATATATATATATATATATATATATATATATATATATATATATATATATATATATATATATATATATATATATATATATATATATATATATATATATATATATATATATATATATATATATATATATATATATATATATATATATATATATATATATATATATATATATATATATATATATATATATATATATATATATATATATATATATATATATATATATATATATATATAATATATATATATATATATATATATATATATAATATAAATATATATTAGGGGGGTACCACCACTGGTGCAATTATAGGGACCCACAGCCTCAGAGAAGGGAACACAGAGCACTCAGGGAAAAACTTGACATTTAACTCTGAATACGAAAGAGTGTTCACTTCTCCTACCACCCCCTTTTTTTTTATTATGATGTACACTTTATTATGCAAGGTTATACAGTTACATATCTGATTTTATACAAAAAATAAACATTAAGAGGACACAAGAAAAAGTTCGCTTCCTAGAGGCTGTAGATTTCCTCGAACTCCTCCGACGCCGGGCAGGAACCGAGGATGCAGCGAGCATTCCCCCTCTGGATCGCGACACTGAGGCGCTGAAAGAGAAAACTTGCTGCTCTAGGGTCTCTTGTGGTGTCAATGAGCTTGGAACCAAGATCCTTAAGAAACCTTCTTGCACTCTCACCCCATGGGCCTAGGGTCTCAGACCCTATTGGAACGAAATTGTACCTTTGATCTAATTGCCTGTACTTGACTGACTTTTGTTTTTCACTGTGTGTCGCTGCGGCTCCTGCCGTGCCGGCAGAGAGGGTGATGTATGTCGTTGCCAGGGTGGATACGCAAGTATAGTCCCATGCTAACTGCCTGCCACCCTTCCACGGACGCAGTGTGATTCCGTCTGGTCGGCCGGCAAAGCTAACAGAGTCACGGTTCAGTAGGTTGCGGGGCTCTCTCTCCGCTGGACACTGAGCAGAGGCAAGGCTTCTTTTAATGATGTCGTTGACTTCGTCGTGTCTAGTGTGCCAACCACCCGATTTTCCACAGTGCAGGCCATGCAATCCATATTCGTCAGCATCTGCCTCGCCGCAAATACACCTGTGAACAGTGTGGATAGGGGCAGCAAGGCGGAGAGCGACTGCAATACGGAGCTCCTGCGGATCAAGACGTGTGCCTGTCGCAGACATAGGGACTGCCAGAAGGAAGTCCCCTGCATGGGGAGCCTGCACAGCTGTGAGGCGTGCACGATCACTGGGGGTTGTTGCTGCCTCCAGCAAAGCTGTGGCTTCTTTGTCTACAATGGGGCTGTCCCAACTGGATTGTTTCTTGGCTTTCGGCATGGCTGGTCTGAGTGCTGGGTCTGTCATGGCACCCCATTTCGTGTCGCATTCCGTGTAGTGGGGGTCCTGTATCCCCGCTACATCACTCAGGGTGTCAGGTAGAATTTCCTTAACCAGGTCATCTGATGCTGAGGAGGAAGACAGGAAGGCTGGGACAGCAATTTGGGTGGCGGTGCGGACACCCAAGCCACCGAGCCTGACAGGAAGAGTGGCTTGTTTCCACTGGCATTCGTTGAGGGAGAGGTTAACAACTTTTTCCAGCATGGTCTTCAGTAGGAGGTCATACTCTTCAAGCTTTGGGTTGTTGTAAGATGGGGCGCACCTCAGAAAGTAGGTTAGCCTCGGAAGAGATAGGCATTTGGTGAGGAGATAAAAAGCATCGTGGGCATCGATGTCACCTATTCTGTCTTCCATCCTCCTAAGGTCTGCGATTTTCTTGTCGAGGATCTCCTCAATGGCGTTAGACCCGAGGGGAGCTCCAAGGAGGGTGCTGTTCTCGGCCCTAATGACATGGGCTCCAGGCAAGGCAGACCTTATTCTAGCTACGATGTCTGGGTTGGAGGAGACTACTTCACACTTGGAAGGGTTCAGGACGAGACCCAGGCTTACTTCTTGCTCCCTTATTTTCCTGATATCTGACAAGAGGTGGTCTATGGTGCCAGCTATAGTGCCATCATCCAAAAACCAGATGTTGAACTCGCTGGACAAGCTTTCGGTGATTTCTTTTAAGACTAAGCAGAAAAGAAGGGGAGCAAGAGGATCACCTTGCTGAACACCTTCACATTGCTGAACACCTTCACAATATATATTATATATATATATAATATAATATAAATATATATTATATATATATATAATATAATATAAATATATATTATATATATATATATATATATATATATATATATATATATATATATATATATATATATATATATATATATATATATATATATATTGTATATATATATATATATATATATATATATAATGGTGAAGGTGAATATATTGAAGGGAACTGTGTATTGTTTATCCCCCCTTTATTTCTTCACTGCACTACTACAGTTCTTAAAACTATACTACCAACTTGGGGTCGGATACTATAAAAGAAGTTATAACATCAAGAACCCGGTTACTGGCCAAGAGTGACCATAACGACCCCGCGAAAAATCGTTTAATAACCAAGTAACCATTTTACTGTCGAGTTAAACAAAGGCTACAGTTAAGGATTTGTGCCTAGTAAATCCTCCCTGGCCAGGATATGAACCCAGGACAAAGCACTTGCGAAATGCCAGGCGAGCTTCTTAACCACTTCACCACGGGGACTTTTTCTTATGCAAGTCCTTACATTTTTGTAAAGCCAATAGCACGCATAGCATTTCGGGCAGGTCCTTGATCCAAATTTTTTCCCGGGATACGACCCATTAAATCGATTAACCACCAGGTATCCATTCACCGCTGGGTGAACAGAGGTTACAGTTAAGGAGTGGCACCCATTCAATCCTTCCTGGCCTGGATACAAACCCAGGCCAAGGTGCTCGTAAAGCGCTGGGCGAGTGCTTTACCACTGCACCACTGGGACTGCTTTAATATTAATATGTCACATTATCAAGGATACGTCGTATTAACGTAACCAAATGTAATGAAACCAAACCTTAACCTTAGGTAACCTTAACCTAAGCTAACCATAGAGAGAGAGAGTAGATAATAGCACAAATTATGTAGTTATTCCTAATACATTTCCTTAAGCAGAACTCCTCCCCGAGGATAGGTTGTGGGACTACATTAGCGGTCTTCCAATTTTTTGGTAATTCTCCTGTTACTAGTGACTTGATATGTACTATGGATAGTGCTTCTGCTCAGTCTTTTAGCATCCATGGTGAGATTCCATCTGGGCCAATAGCACTTGTTACATACACACTCAGCATATGCTGCTCTTGTCAATCCAGTGGTGCCTGGTTAAGTAACCCTCTCCCTTAGTTCTGGAACTCTCCCTGTTCTTTTGTGAAGACCTTCTGGAATCTCGCAGAGAGTTCCTCACACACCCATTGTCGTTCTCAGTAAACCTGTCTGCCCCATTCTCAGTCATTACCTGTTCGTTCACTATAGTTTTCCTCGTGATGTGGCTGTGAAGTGATTTGAGTTGGGTCTTTGCTTTATTTGCTGTCATTTATATACTGTCTCTCTGCTCACTTTGAGCTAGTGTACTTATTCCTAGCCTTTTGGCATCTTCCTCTGCTCTTTGGTGCCCTTGTTATTCCTGTAGTTTTTCCACGCCCTTGTGCTTAGTTGCTTTGCCACTTTACATCAGTGATTAAACCATGAATTCCTCCTTTGGATTTCTTGTCATTTTGGAGTTTGTTTATTTATATACAAGGGATATTGGGTTTTGAGAATACATATCGATTTTACATTCTTGCAAAGCCACTAACACGCACACAGTACAGCGTTTTGGGCAGATCTTTAAGCTAACAAATTAAGGTAAGATTATTAATAGGTACATTGTAGCAAAATTTGAGGTTACCCTAATAACTACAATATAAATTTATGGGAGTAATTACACTGGTGAAGTTGCATAACTTAAATACTCAAATTGGGGGGAGGGGGGGGTAACACACAATACACTTGATCGTGATCAAGTACTTTTGACAGACGATCTTCCTGCTCTAAAAGTGTGTTGACCTGGATAGTGTAATTCATTTTTCCATGTAATTTATGTTGGCTTGTTCGCACCCTCTCATATCGACGCCTTAATAATGGTGTCAGCGATGCTGATGATGTGCTTTCTCCACAGGCAGGAGATGAAGGCATGGGGCGTGACAGTCTCCTTGGTGGAACCTGCTAACTTTACTGCCGGTGAGATACTCTCCTCTAACACTGTCTACCGACACTAAAAAAATATTATACACACACACACATATATATACATATACATATATATATATATATATATATATATATATATATATATATATATATATATATGTCTTCAAACTGTCTCAAGTACATTACTGCACTGGGCACCTATTTTCCAGAATTTACCTGAAATACCTAAAAATATATGCAAGATGAAATGTCACCCAGTCATGGAGACAGTAATCTTGCCCTGTATTCTCATTGGTCGTCTAGGGCTGCAGCTGTATTGTAACCTGATAGTTCTGTCTTGATCTGTAGAGATCTAAGCATGAACTCCACAAATGGTCAGAAAACTAGCATATGCTTTTTAATACCGAAAAATGCAAGACCATTTCATGTGGGGCATAACAATCTACTTCACAACTATCAAATTAAAAGTACCTTGCAGCAGATTGATGAAGAAAGTAAGTAATTATCAAAAGAAGGCACGAAACCAGGAAGGCTATGTAGCACCATCAAATGTGTGGAATAATCAGAGGGCGCTAAGTAATTATCAAAAGAAGGCACCAAACCGGGAAGGCTATGTAGCACCATCAAATGCGCAAAATAATCAGAGGGTGCTAAATATCACCAAGGATGCCAATACGAGAACAAAAACGCATAAGGCGAACGATATCAAAAGTATCCGAGTCACCAAGAATTCTATTGAGGGACAGGCGACCGGGAGGGGCGGTCGGAAAGCAAGATACATGCTCGTCCTGGAAGTCAGGACATTCAAGAAGGACATGCACGACCGTAAGAGGGACAATGCAATTAGGACAATAAGGAGCAGGGTGGCGCTCCATCAAGTGACCATGGGTTAAGCGAGTATGGCCAATACGCAACTTCGCCAGAGCTGTTTCCCATCGCCGGTTACGGTGGTAGGAGGACGGCCACGAGGAAACAACATTTAAGAGTACGTAGTTTGTTACCAGTAACAGACGACCAAGAAGCCTGCCAACAGGTAAGGATGGAGGAATGGATAACCGGGTAAAAGTCGGAATATGGAATACCTTTAAGAGAGATGGGACAAGAGCGGACAGCTTCCATGGTGGCAGCATCTGCACGCTCATTTAAAGACACACCAATATGGCTGGGAACCCAACAAAACTCAACCGACTTAAATTTACTGTGAACAAGAAACAGCCAATGCTGGATCTCGACAACTACTGGATGAACCGGAATAAAGGACCCGAGAGCCATGAGGGCATTACGCGAGTCAACAACAACTACAAAGGAAGACTGGCAACGAGAAAACAGGAGACGAAGAGCATAGAGAATAGCATAAAGTTCCGCTGTAAAGATGCTAGTCTCCGGAGGTAAGCGACACAAATAAGTGCAATCAGGAAAAACAACAGAGTAGCCAACACCGTCCGCAGACTTAGACCCATCGGTGAAGACAGAAACGGAACGGGAGTGAGAAGAAAAGTGCTCAAGGAAAAGGCATTTTAGAACCGTAGGAGGGGTAAATGCTTTAGTGATGCAGGTCAAGGATGTACAACACTGCGGAAGGGGGACTCTCCACGGGGGCAAAGAAGGAACAACACGAGGGGAAACATTAGAAACACGAACGGAAAGAGAATCCTGTAAGTGAGATAACCGGACAGAAAGAGGGAGGTGGTGAAGATGAACAGGAACCGCAGGAGGGGTAAAAGTTAAAGCATGACAGAGGCGAGAGAAAGGATGTTGTAAGGACCGCGCAAGATAGCGAAGACAGTAGCGATCACGGCGGTCCTGGAGAGACAGGAAGCCAGTGTCAACATACAAGCCAAGGACGGGAGTCGAACGAAAGGCACCAGAACTGAGGCGCAACCCAGTATGGTGCAAAGCATTAAGACGGCGAAGAGTAGGAGAAGCAGACGAGTAAGCAGGGCAACCATAATCGAGCTTAAGACAGGACAAGAGAGGAATGTAAAGCAAGGAAAGTGCGCCTATCCACTCCCCAAGAAGTTTGGGACAATACCCGAAGGAGGGTAAGGGCCTTAGAGCACTCAACACGGAGGTAAGAGATATGGGGAAACCAAGACAAACGAGTGTCAAGGAATAACCCCAAAAGCTTCGCGGAATCGTTGTACTGTACTCAAGGGGATGACCATAAAGTGACAAAGAGGGACGAAGAACAACCCGTTTCCGAGTAAAAGTCATGGCACAAGTCTTAGTAGTAGAGAACTTGAAGCCATGATCGGTGGCCCAAGACGACACGGTATCAATCGCAAGTTGAAGCCGGCGTTGAAGGAGAGGCGAAGACGCCTGAAGGAAGAGAGGAAAGAAGACCATTGAGGGCAACCAGAAAAAGAGTAGTGCTCAGAACACTACCCTAGGGCACACCTTCGTATTGCTGAAAAGAGGCAGAGAGAGCGGTACCAAGCCGCACCCGAAAGGAATGACGAGAGATGAAGCTGCGGAGAAAGAGAGGGAGATGACCACGAAGGCCAAAAGAATGAAGCTGGGATAGAATATGATATCACCAAGTGGTGTTGTAAGCCTTTTCCAGGTCAAAAAGGACGGCAACAACGGAGGTCTTCGCAGCAAAAGCAGTACGAATATAGACCTCCAAGATCACCAGGACATCTGTCGTGCTGCGGCACTTGCGGAAACCAAATTGAGAAGAGAAGAGGTGGTGATGGTGTTCCAGGAACCACATCAGACGAATGTTAACCATACGTTCAAAGAGTTTGCAGACAACTTGTTAGGTAATTTATTTATTTATTTATTTATTTATATATATACAAGAAGGTACATTGGGTTTGTGAGAATACATTGAATAGTACAGTATTTACAATCTTGTAAAGCCACTAGTACGCACAGCATTTCGGGCAGGTCCTTAATCTAACAGATAATTTTAAGTAGGTAATTTCTATCAGAATTGATAAATGATAACAAATACATTGCAAGAGAAAAATGAGATGAGAGAGCTTAGTAAGTATATTAAAGCACATTGTTATATTAAAGCTCTGATTGATTACATTGACAGCTTGATTGGTAATTTAAACAAGATTAATAGACACCATACAGCAGATTGACAGCACATATAAGACAGCAATGATCACAATGGTAAAGATGCTCAGATTGGGTACATAAAGATTGGGAGACTGGGTAGCAATAGATACGGATAAACAAGATTAATAAACACCATACAACAGATTGGCAGCACATATAAGAAGACAGCAATGATCACAATGGTAAAGATGTTCAAATTGGGAACATAAAGGTTGGGAGATTGGGTAGCAATAGATACAGTACAATTTTCAGGCAAAAGGTGAAAAACTATGAAGATGAAATTAGGTACTTTTTAGTATTGATTTTGAATGATGTAAAAGTTGGACAGCTTTTCAATTCAATAGGGAGTGAGTTCCATAAACTGGGTCCCTTTATTTGCATAGAGTGTTTACACAGATTAAGTTTAACTCTGGGGATATCAAAGAGATATTTATTTCTGCTGTGGTGATAATGGGTCCTATTACATGTAATAGGGTGAAAGTCCTTAGGGGATGTTCCCAGAGACCCTGGTTTGCGAACAGGGAGGACAACGGCATCGAGCCAGTCCTCGGGGACAAACGACAACTCCCAGATCCGATTATACAGACTCGGTAAATACTGAGATGTGCACGGAGGGAGATGGCGAAGCATCTCATAATGAATACCATCAGAGCCCGCCGCCGTAGAACCGCAGAGGGCCAGGGCAGAACGAAGTTCAGAGAGAGAGAAGAGATCGTTATAGGGAAGTCGAAGACGAGTGCAGAAATCTAAAGGACAGGTTTACGAAGAAGGAAAGATTGGGGAAGATGAAGACCAGAGCTAACAGAAGAAAAGTGGGAACCCAGTTCAGTAGCGACCTGCAACGGGTCCGCCACAAGAGTACCACGGAGGTGAAGGACCGGTGAAACATCGGGAACGAACTTACCCGCTATCTTGCGGATACGCTTCCAGATCTGTGGCAGAGGAGTTTTGAACGTAATGGTGGAGACATAGGATGCCCAACATCTTATGTTTAGCCGTACGGATGGCCCTATGGGCCACTGCACTCGCTTTCCGAAAGAAAAGAAAAGAATCGGCCGTCTGCCGACGACAGTGTCTCTTCCAGGCTGCACGCTTACAGCGGACAGTCCGAGCACAGTCTCCATTCCACCAGGGAATGCACTTCCGTGGACCCCGAGAGGAAGAGCGAGGAATAGAGCGGAGGGCAGCGTTGAAGACAGTGTCATGAAAAAGGAGGAGAGAGCAAGGGAGAGGTAGAAGGGAGAGGTCAGAGAGCAGCACTGAGGGTAAATAGGGTCCAGTCCGCTTTTGCAAACTGCCACCTAGGGAAGGAGAGGGAAGGGCGAAAAGAGAAAAAGGTAACAAGGATGGGGAAATGATCACTGCCATGGAGGTCATCAAGAACCTGCCACGTGAAATCTAAGTAAAGAGAAGAAGAGCAAAGAGAAAGATCAAGACAGGAAAGGGTGCGAGTACGAGAGTCCAAATGTATGGGCTCACCAGAATTCAGAAGAGACAGGGAAGAAGAGAGGATAAACGGCTCAAGAAGGCGACCCCGGGTGTTCGTCAGAACATCACCCCAAAGGGAATGACGACAATTGAAATCACCTAGCAGGAGCACAGGCTCCGGCAAGGAGTCCAGTAAGTGTTTCAGATCAGGAAGAGAAAGCGGGACACTCAGGGGGAGATAAATGGAACAAATAGTGTACCATTTCCCCACAAAGATACGAGCAATAGATTCAGTAGTAGGGGCCGAGGAAGAGAGCGAAGCCTTCTTACCCGCCGGGGAGGAAGGAGAGGAGCCAAGCTTACGCTTCTGACTTAAAGAGACCGGTGTCACAGCAACTACGTACTGGGCAACGGATTCCAGTGTCTCAACAGGAGAAGCTGAACGAGAGCACACACAACGGCCGTTAGGAGAGCGATGGACATCAGCCCGCACCGACAGGCGGCGGGGAGTGTCAATAGATGGAGAAGGATGG